TAATAATGACAGCAATGGTAGTAATGATAATAACAATGATAACAATAATAACAATAATAACAGTAATAATAATGTTAATTATGATAATAACAACAATAATAATGATAATAAGAATGATGATAATGATAATAATAATAATAATAGTAATAATAATAATAATAATAATACTGATAATAATAATAATAATAATAATAATAATAATAATAATAATAATAATGATAATGATAATGATAATGATAATGATAATAATAATAATAATGATAATAATAATAACAATAATAATAATAATAATAATAATAATAATAATAATAATAATAATAACAATAATAATAATAATGATAATTATAATAATAATAATAATAATACCGATGATAATAAGGATGATGATGATGCTAATGATAATGATAATGATAATAATAATAATGATAATGATAATGAAAAACATGATAATAACAAAAATAATAACAATGATAATGATAATGACAAAAATGTCATTATGATAATGATGTGGTAATACTGATAATGATGGTAAAGATAATAATTATGATAATTATAATAATGACAGTGATAATAACAAAAATAACGATAATAACCAAAATAATGATAATAACGATAATGATGATAATATTAATGATAACTATATGAACAATAATAATTATTATTATAATGATAATAATAATAATAATAATAATAATAATAATAATAATAATAATAATAATAATAATAATAATAACAATAATAATAATAATGATAATAATAATAATGATAATAATAGTAATAATAATAAACAATAAATGATCCTGAGAGTAGTAATAATAATGAAAATGATAATAGTAATGATGATAATAATTGAAAAAATAATAGCAATAACAACAACAACGAAACAACAATGATAATAATAATAATGATAATAATAATAATAATAATAATAATAATAATAATAATGATAATAATGATAATAATAATAATAATAATAATAATAATAATAATAATAATAATATTATTATTAATAATAATAATAATAATAATAATAATAATAATAATAATAATAATAAATATGAAAATGCAAAAAAATATACTACTTCCACTACTTCTAATAATAATGATAACAATAAGAACAAAAACAATAATAATAAAAATATGAAAAATTATTGCCACGATAATAAGAAATGATAATGATAAAAAAATAAATATTGACCTACAATAATAAATTTATTCCATTGATTAACTCTTTTTTGGATGGAAGACAAGAGCGGTATTGAGTGAACTACCGCGGCTCTGTTGTTGAATGGTCATTTAATCAATTTAAAGTACAAAGTCCGCGTGGATAAGGTGTGTGTGTGTGTGTGTGTGTGTGTGTGTGTGTGTGTGTGTGTGTGTGTGTGTGTGTGTGTGATTCTAAACATCCATGCAGTAAATAGTAATAATGATTATGATAATAATAATAGAAATAACTATAATTGTTATTATTTTTTTTTTACTATTGTTTTTATTTCTATTATTATTGTTATAACCATTATAGAAGTGATGATGATAATGATAACAATAGAAAAAATATGATAACAATACAGATGATAATAATAATAACAATAATAATAATAATAATAATAATGTTAATAATAACAATGATAATAATAGTAATAATAACAATGATAATAATAGTAATAATAACAAACAATAATAATAATAACAATAATAACAAACAATAATAATAATAACAATAATAATTATGATAATAATAATAATAAAAAAAAAATAATGATAATAACAATAATAATAATAATAATAATAATAATAATAATAATAATAATGATAATGATAATGATAATAATAATAATAATAATAATAATAATAATAATAATAATAATAATAATGATAATAATAATAATAATAATAATAATAATAATAATAATAATAATAATAATAATAGCAAACAATAATAATAATGATAATAACAACAACAAAGAAAAAATAAAGTCAATTTTAGTGATGACAATACTAATGATAATGGCAATACTACTACTACTAATAACAAAATAACAAAACGAAAAGATTGTAATAATGATATAATAATAAAAAAGGGATAATGTTAACAATAAGAAGAAAGACCTATAATAATAAACAATAATAATTGAACGGAAGATAAGAACGGTATTGAGTGAGCTACCGTAGCTCTATTAAAAACCGGCCTCTTAATACATTTAAAGTAGAAAGTCCTTGTCAATAAGGATTCGTTTGCAGTGAACAGGTGTAAGATTCCAGGTCTACGGCACGCTGCCACCACCCGATTAGTAGGTTTAGGAAGCGTGTGTGTTGTGTATGGAAGTGTGAATGTTGTATGGAGAAGATTGGAAGGAAAATACAGAATGTGTGTGTTGTATGTTAGATGTGTAAGGGTGTAAATGTGAAAAGGGAGATAGCGTAGGCTGAGTGTCTGCGTCGACGTGTTTTGGAGGAAAAATGTATGATGATAGAATTCTTTTTTTTTTCACTTCGGTTT